TAGCCGAGACCGATAACTCTGGACCACCTGTTAGTCGCGTCGTATTGTCCTCATCAAATGTAGGCAGTCCACAGCAGGTGTACCAGGACGCTATGGCCATCATGGCATGATACGGCAGATCGACGTTCTTCTTAACGATGACGTGTAATCCACAGTGGAAAGACTACGGGAGAACCTCTATTGTGGTCAGTCGCCATCAAATCGTCTCGATTTAATAGCGCGCGTATTTAATGCAAAGTTGCAGGTACTTTGCACCGACCTGTTCACAAAGAACATCCTAGGTGAAAAGGAAGCATACATTTACGTAGTTCAATTTCAGAAACGTGGCCTACCACATTGCCACATGCTCATCATAATGAAAGAGAAGTGGAAAGTGCGCACTGCAGAGGACGTAGATAAATCTGTTTGTGCGGAAATTCCGAACATTGAAGCGGAAGCGGAGCTTTACGTTGCTGTCACAGCCTACATGATCCACCGGCAATGTGGAGCTATGGATCCTCGCTCTCCGTGCATGCAGAACGGTTCGTGTGCAAGACGAATTACGGCAGCAAATTTGCGGCATGATTTCAGCCGTCAAGTACCTCTTCAAGTACATGTATAAGGGGCCGGATTGTGCTCGCATCGACATCGAAAACGATCCGACTGTGGACGACAATCAGAACATCGATGGAACCAAGCAGCACCTCAACACCCGCTATGTATGCGCTCCTCAAAGCATGTATCGAATTTTTGGTTACAGCGTGCAGGGCAGGTCACACGCGGTGTTCAAGTTGGCCGTCCACTTGCCCGAACTTCAAGATGTGCAGTTTGTGCAAGGGCAAGAACAAGAGTACCTAGCACAAGCTCAACGGACGTTCACAACCTTAATGGCTTTCTTTGAGCTGAACAGGCTGTGTAATGAGGTGCACGAACGTGGGCAAGCAAATGACTTTACAGTCGATCCTCGGAACATCTGCTACTATCAAGTACCGGAGCATTTTACTCTCGAACCTCGGCACGGATGGACGTCGAGGAGTTAAGGAGGAAATCAGATCGGCAGAATGTATACAGTGCCGCCTAGGGATACGGAGCGATACTGCCTAAGGATACTCCTACTCAACACAAAAGGGAAAACTTCTTTTGAAGACTTGCGAGCTGTCGATGGGGTCACTTATGATACATACACCGAAGCAGCAAAGGATTTTTAGACGACGACAGATACTACCGACAGAGCCTTCAAGAAGTAGCTCACTACCAGTCTGCAGCCGCGATGAGAAGCTTTTTCGCCTGTCTGCTCTGCTTCTGCGGGATAGTACAGGCACAAGATTTGTGGGACGAATTCTCTGATATGATGTCGGACGACTACGTGTATCAGGGGTTTGACGGACAACATGCTGTCGTTTTGGCGTATTTCGACGTCTATGGGCAGAGACTGGAGGAAGGTCATTCGTCCTCCTACAGCGGAAAGGCCAGTTGTATTGGCACTTCCATTCGATTACGCAAGTTTTGAGTGAAGCGGATTGCAGCAGTACGAAATCTGAATACGAAGCAAAGGGATGCGGCGGACGTTATTTTGCCGCTTTGTACAGAGCTGAAAACTGATGCATCTTCATAGACGGCCCTGGCGGTAGCGCCAAGACATATCTTTACAGCACTGTATACGGCATAGCTGTTGGAAGGAGACACCGAGTGCTGTGTGTAGCCTGGACCGGCATAGCGGCCAAATTGCTTCCAGGGGGACGCAGCGTGAACTCTGTTTTCAAATTAAATATAAATGACGGCAATCGAACTTCTTCAATGAGACTTCAACAAAAAGAAGCACAGCAGCTTAGGGAAACTGGCATGGTCGTCTGGGATGAAATTTCCATGACCTCAGAAAGCGCCCTTGAAGCTGTTGATTGTCTTTTGAGCGATATAATGCAAACAGAAGCACCTTTGGCGGCAAAGTGATGGTTATTGGGGGTGACTTTCAGCAGATTTTGCCAGTTGTTGAACACGGCCAACGTATAGATATTGCAGAAGCCTGCGTTTTGAAGTCTCCTCTTCGGCAATTGTTCTCCATTCATCAACTCGAAATAAATATGAGAGCTCGCACTGCTGGCAGCAATTGGCATGATTATCTTCTCAGAATCGGTAGCGGGGAATCGAACGACGAAGGAGGTCGCACCGCTATTCCAGATGAGATGATGTGTACGACGGATATAGTCACCGAAATTTTCGGTGACGTGCTAGACCCGTCGACCATCGCGAACCTCTGTGAAAGCGCGGTTTTGGCGCTGAAAAATGTACATGTGCAGCGCTTGAACCAGGATGCTCTGCAACGTCTTATCGTCGACCCAGCGCATGATGAACGCATTTACAAAAGCGTCGACGAAGCCATTTATCCAGAAGGTCAGTCGAGACAGCAGTACCAGTTGGAGTACCTTAATTCTCTCACACCCACGGGAATGCCTCCACACGAACTGCACCTGGAAAAAGGCGCGATAATTATGCTGCTCAGAAATTTGGACGTTGCTAACGGATTGTGCAGTGGAACGCGCCTGAAGGTTGAAACGTTTGGACATTTTACATTACGTTGCAGATTTAATTGTGGAGAAAGGAATAACCAGCTGGCGATAATTCCAAGGATAGACAACTGCTGGGGTCAGAGGATTCCCTTAAGGCTTTGTCGTCACCAGTTCCCAATGCGCATAGCTTTTGCAATGACGACCAATAAACCTCAAGGACAATCGTTCAACAAAGTGGGCGTGTTTCTTCCAGGAGACTTCTTTTCCCATGGCCAACTCTACGTTGCGCTTTCCCGTGCGAGAAGGCCTGATGGAATCAAAGTGAAGGCCTGCTCGAATAACTTAAAAAACATAGTATTCAGGGAAGTTTTGCAGTGATCATTTTCAAACGACCGTTCTTGAAAAAGGCAAGGAAAGATTTGAATCGACTTAACAAAATTTGTATCTTTCGAAATTGCCCTTCAACAATGCCTTTGTATTCATGTCAGTTGATACGCTAAGAGCAAAAAAGAGCTGTGTACTAGGAAAAACTGCTTCCGAAGACTAAAATATGGCACCACTGATTTCTTTTTGACAATTCTCTCAATTTCACAACATGCGGGTTTCTTGGAAAGGTAAAACATATCTCTTGGAATCTCTCGTCAATGAATGGAAAATCTTTTTTGCCCGGGAAGAGCTGTCGGGGATCCAACCGGCTATGTCGTTCCTTCTTCCTCCCGAAAAGCCTTTGCACTAAATAATTTTTTCAACTTGTTTTCGCGGGTCTTGCTTTTCTAGTATTCGTTCAGGTTCTGCTCAGCATTACTAAATGAATTTTCCGTATTCTGTATAAAGGGAGCGCTCTACATAAAGATTTCATTATTACGTAAGAAGTGACAAAAGACAGCTATGTAATCTCACCTTTTTACAACGCGATTTCGACATGATGCAACCATAAGACTATCAATCTATTCTCTCTTGTGCAACCACCACCTATGGCTGACAGAACGTTCCGGTGTGTGTGTTTCGCCGGAAAATCATAAGTTCCGTTTTTGGATCAGAGCTAAGGGTTACACGCGATTAACTAATTCTAAAACGAAGAGGAGGAGAGTCTGGCGTTAGCCTTGCGATCCGATGTAGATATATTCAAGTGAAATTCTGAATGCATTTGTTGGTAGTGGCTACGCACTCAATAGTTCCCCTCTCTGCGAACCCTAGCAGACTTTTGGGTGAAGCGGTATCGTGTGTAAGAGATGAAACATGTTTTCATTACGTTCTTCTTAAGTAAGATAGGTAAGCTATAGTGCACGCAATAGCGCGCGTAGCCCAAGTGGTAATATACGTAAGTGCGGTTGTTCCTGCTAATAAGGCACAGTAGGGTGATGGTAATCAATGCTTTATGAGACATTTAACTTACGTCTTGCCCGTGACGCTGTTATAGCAAGGTGTCGTGACTTTCACGCCTCGAGCAAAGTTGCTCCAATCACACTGTGTAAGGAAACCGCGTGCGCTCATGTTCAAATCAGCCAGAAGCCTCTAGAAGGCAGTGTGCAAGCCTTCTGGACGTCAGTTCATCATAAGTCATCGCATTGATCGGCTGCACCCAGAACGTCTCAGCTACATGGAGCCGCGCGAGGAGCACCGAGAACAATAGTAACTCACTAACCCACTAACAATGACATACGCCAGGACCACCTCAGGTACTCTCTTATTAGATCTTAACCCGCGGTTCGCCATAGAATCTCAATAGTTGTGCAATATTGATAAGTAGTATTCCACCTCTTTAGCCATAGTTCATTTCTACTATTGCACTACTTATTTCAACCTTAGTTGTTATTGCCATTGCATCACATACCTTAACCACACTACCATACTTCCTTATGTTAACATTGCCACTTTATTCACATACTTGGTTTTACTCTTTAATTGTGCCTTTGCCCTTTACGTAGAAGAACAGTTACTTATTTGTCCATTTGTGTTATTTGGAGAATATGAAGAGTATAATATAATAGTATCATATTCACATCGATACATCTCGTATTCCACCACTCGTCCTCGTCTCTCTTCTTGGCAAGTCATCCTGCTCTCATCGTAGTCGTTCCATCCAGACGTCCGTCAGTTGGTCATTCTTCTCGGACATTCGTCTCTTCCATCCAGATCAACACCGAGCCAGCGGTTGGAGGGCTGGAAGGCCTACCGGTTTCCGCAGCAGGATAGAGGCAAAACGCCACGCCCATTGGCAGGCGCACTCCCATCAACCCTCAGGTGCGGTGGGCACCAGGAATCCCACAGCCGCGACCTTGCGAGGCTCCACCGCCGATGCAAACTTCTAGTCGGAGCCCTAGCCAAGGTCACGGCATGGTGCATACGGCCGCAGTTGTATCCGTCGAAAGACGCATGCAGCTATGGTGATCGAACTCGTAGTGCGCCTAGATGCACGACATGGTGCATCGGACCGCAGTTGTATATGCCGAAAGGCATATGCGGCTACAGCGATCGAACTCGCCGTGCGAAAACATGCACGAACGGGTGCATAGATTCCGTCGGTACCGTCATCACTTGCCGTCGCAGCGCTATTGGAGCGCAGACCCTTTGGTCATTTTCTCACTTGGTGTACCTATTGCTGCCCCAGGTTCAACCCCGCGATGCACGCGTCCCAGCATCATGCCGAGAAACACGTCGGCCGCGGATGGCATACGACGTAAAAGGCAGCTGACTATCAGGACGAGACAGAACGCAGCGTTTTCGACGACTTGGGTGTCGTACTAGGACGCAGAAAGCTCTACAGTTAGTACGTTGGACCGGTATTCATGGATCACAGACCTAGAACCAATGTCATCATCGGAATCAGTGGCAGCGATTCCTTCGATGTAAAACCAGGATTCCACTTTGGCGGCATCGGCCAGGTCACGGCGCCACGTGGCTCATGGATAAAGGCCACCGACCATGTGCTTTGCCTGCAGTTTTGAGCGTGNAGAGGTGCAGATTTGGGAAGGTCACTAGTGGGAAGCTCCTGGATGCCAGTGTAAGGCCGGCGTAACCAAGGGAGTGGGATGCGGAGTGACACCGGGAGGCAGGGCTCCGATATGAGGGAGGCCCAGCTAATCGTCACGAATACACCTCTGACATCGTCTAGCGTCAGGTCCTACATGGCTCAAGCTGCACATACGCACGTTCGAGTACGCTCTGGAGTGTATGGTACTTAGTATCATCATTGTCGTTATGTCGCTAAACGTTATCGCCCTCTGAGTAACGTCTTGCAAGCTCATCATCTTCAATACCCTTCCTGTTAATAACATCATGCGGGTCGTATCGATTAACCGAATTGGATTCACATGATTTGCATCGCCATGTACTCGCCGTCGACCAATACCTCGATCTTTCGATGAAAACACCGTGGACGTACACCCTTCTCATTCTAGAAGGTACTATCTAACGTCATGTCCGCCTTACGCGGGCACAAATCCCGTGTCACGACGGCTATCGGAACGTTAACCAAGATGATTTCAGCCGTCGATTCTTCCTACTTGACCGCACCCGACACTACTTCTACTCCAGAAGTTCAAATGCGAAACATCCTTCGTCGTCGAGGAGCAATATCAGCCGCCAAGTTCGCAATCGAAAGAGCATTGGAAATCCTCAAGGAACGTTATGAAGCACTACTACTATACATTCAGACTCAGCCAGATCGCGCATCTGTCAGTGAAGAAGTTGATCAATTCTGGAATGAAATTTAAGGCGATAAGCACGAGTCCGACGTGCTCGAGACCATCACAGCGCTGGACACACAGCTCATGATGGATGAAGCCCTTGAGACTTCACTTCGATCTCAGCTTACCAATAACATCGCAAACGCTACCGCCGCATTAACTCTTTCCCCCCCCCCCCCACAGTTGCCCAACAATTCGTCAGGAGTTCAGTCACCGGATGCTGGCAACGAACAGCAGCATTGATTTCCGTCAGCGTTATCAACATCGTCTTCACCTACTTCATTCGTACAACCAATCCAGCTACGCAAGTTGGAGCTACCAGTTTTCGAAGGAAATTCTACGCAATATCACAAGTTCGTCTATCTCACTAACGCTCTTAAAGGCAGTGCCGCACTTAGCGTTCAAGGGTTTGATCCATCTAAACCCGAAAATTACCATCTCGCAATTCAGGCGCTTAAAAAGCGATAATCGTCCGCAATTCACGCATAATCTCTTCATAATCTGCATAATCATAAGTAAAACAGTTAACATATTCATCTGTTTCAGCCTCGTCACAAAGAGACACTCTATCTCAGGTTCAGTCCTACATCTTACAGCTTAATCGTTTTGAGAATACTAGTACCTCGCTGTCTCCTATGAGGCTTATCAAGAGCAAATTTCCACGCTAGACTCAATTGGAGGTCATCAAGCTCTACCATCGTTCAGGTAAGATTTCGACACTTCCCGAGCTCTTAGACGGGCTAAACGAAGCTATTGAGGAGTTTGAGAAATCAGACGACTATACGACAGGTAAACCTATGTCAACAGAGTTTACGGTTGGCCCGTTTCAGCAACTGTTCACACATAACACCATCTCCTGAACTTAGGTACGACCCAGACTTTGTTGTTTTTGTACTCACCAAATCATCGTTCGCTCCGTTGTCATCATCGTACGTCTCCGTCTAATCGCCGTCTCATAGTAAAGGCTCTAGACTTGTGTTGAAAAAACCTCAGAAAAAAACACACTAGTTCTCAATGCGGATATCCCAAACAAAAAGACGCTGCTTTGGTAAACATCACCTCACAAGATCGTACAGCGACCGTGAACGTCATCGTACTCCGTCATCAGACCCTTCGCGTAGCCATCGTCAATCGAGAACACCTTCTGTCGACAGGCATCGCTACTCATCCGCTTCACCTATTCCGCAACAGTTGGAACGTAGTACTTCACCGCGAAGGTCACGTCACGTTAAACGTTCAACAGTTCGCTTTCGATCATCGATTCGGGATAGTGCTCATTTCGGTCACACTGCAGCGACAAGAGCGTTACAATACCTACAAGGACAGTCAACATCAGTCCATTCGATAAGTCAATCCGACGATGAAAAAGAGCCAGTCGAACCACTAGAACCTATCCAACTCTCGGCTGCAACAAGTACAATGCGTAAATGTACTCTTATGACAATTCAAGCCTTGATCTACAGCCCTAAGAAGAAAAACTACGAGCCAGTCATTTTCCTCTTGGACACGGGCTCTCAAACCAGCTTTGTATCATAGGCCATTGTTGAAGAACATCAACTGTCAACATGCGATCAAGAGATGTTAAATACGGTCGCATTTGGAGTAATCAAGTCCACGGAACGAGCAGGCAATGTTCACGCGTCACTCTTGGACTATCACCAATTGCCACTCTCGTTTGTCCTCAACACCAAGGACAAGATTACAGTGTCGACCAGTCCGTTAACACTTAACGCATTGGACGAAAATACACTCAGATCATTGGATATTCGACTAGAAACACTCACAGCTCTTCGTCGTGTTACACCATTACCTTGAGGATTGGTTCTATGTCATACCCGTTTTGGACCAACCATCCGAGGTTCAAAGTTTTTTCGTTCAGTTTTTACAACAATCCGTCATCGCAGCTAATACCACGTCTGTATAAGACGAGACAGACACAATATCGCCGCGATTCGACAGTCTAGACATCATAGGAATCACAGACGATCCAGATCCACTCTTTGACCAGAACAAAGATGCAAGAGTACTTCAAATTTTCGAAGTACAGTCTTGGAATTGAACGGATATCTTTACGTGCAATTTCCTTGGAAGTCATCACATCAAACTTGCAGATAATCGGCGACTAGCACTCAAGAGACTCGAAAATCAATACCGAACACTCTTCACTAAGCCAGACATTTGGAAACAGTACACCGCTACGATAGTCGACTACCACAAGCAAGGGATAATCGAGGAAATCCATGAACATCCAGCGGACAACCCAAGAATATACTACATCCCTCATCAAGCAGTAGTAAAACAATTGCCAGCTATTACCAAGCTTAGAATCGTGTTCGACGCATCGAGCTTTAATGATTGTCTTTATGCAGGTCCATCTGTGCTACCAGACTTTGTCGGAATCCTTCTACGTGTTCGTTTGTCACCCTGTCTACTCTATTCAGACGCCGAAAAAGCATTTTTACAGATTCGTTCACAGATCGATGAGAGAGACTCTGCGAGATTTCTATAGTTGGAAGGTCCACTCTTTACCAAATCAGACAGTAACTTAGGGTTTTTTGTTTTACCCGTGTTCCATTTGGTATAACTGCATCACCATTTCTTCTAGCAGCTTCGATACTTTATTGTCTTCGTCGCGGTACAGCTAATCCACTGAACGCAGAGATAGAACTTAACACGTACATTGACAGTCCTCTATTAGATGCGACTACGAAAAAAGGAGCAATGCGTAAGTATGAACAATCTAAATCTCTATTTGCATCTATGCATATGAATCTCCGTCAATTTCTTTGTAGTTCCACCCTTTTCAATAAGACCACTGCGCCGCAGGATCGTGCGAGTTGCTCATCGCATGGTTTACTACTGGGCATACAATGGAACCCCCATTTAGATCATTTAATTATTCCATTTAGTACACTTCGTCATACAGTAGTTTCCAAACGTACTGCGTTAAAAGCACTTGTTTCGACTTTCGATCCATTAGGTGGTCTAATATCACCGTTTCTTGCGCCATTCAAAGTCTTCCTACAGGAGTTGTGATCGAAATCCTATCAATGAGATGACCCACTCAAACCTCAAGATCGTCAACATTGAAAACAACTCATTCATTAGGCATCCAATAACATCAAGACCTCGTTGTATTATGCCACCAAATCCTACTTCGTTGGAACTTTGCGTATTTAGAGACGCTTCGCAACGGTTATACGCTTCCTGTGTATAACTGCTCTGTAGAACTCAGTCTACCACTTCGGTTCATCTTGTAATGGTTAAATCCTTATTAGGACACCGACAGCCAATAACCATGCCGCGCATGGAATTGCTGGCTACACTTAGAAGCCTTCGTCTCGTCAAATTCGTCTACCTACAGCTGGAACTGGACATCACAGCAGTTCATGTATTTTCGGACTCGCAAATCGTTCTTCACTGGATACATTGCAATCGTCCCTTACGCATATTCGTCAACAACCGAATCACAGAAATACATTCTCTTAGAGACTATTTTCAATCGTTGAACATCGCTACTCGCTTCCACTACGTTCAATCGGAATCAAATCCAGCAGATTGCGCTTCGAGAGATGTTCCTACTTCAGCTTCAGGAGGACATATTTGGTGGACAGGCCCACAGTTTCTTCACTTACCACTTCTTCACTTACCAAATTGGCCACAAACCAAACAGTTTGTTCCACAACTTGAACATTCGCAGGATACTCAACAGGAGTACCAGACCCTTACAACACTCGCTTCATTGTACACCTATGTTTCACCTATTCGCTTTAGCGCTTTCAGTCATTATAACAAGCTCGTTCGTTCAACCGCATACGTTCTTCGTTTCATTCATGTACTCGCTCTTGCTACTTGCTATTTGCCCTTCTCCAGATACAACAGGCGATCAACGCCCACCTTCCTTCACATTTCAGTCGCAGAATTCACAGCAGCTGAAGAATTATTATCAAGGAACATTACCGTGAAAGTGAATCGATTCTCAACCGCTTACCACTACATCGCTTCAACGCACATCGTTCATCCACTGGACTCACACATTGTCTACGTCGCACAGACAATTCGTTGTCTACCGCTTCTTCACCCATTCTTCTTATACCGCATTCACATTCACTTACTTCCCTTATCGTTATGTACATACATCGCACACAATTTCATTAAGGTGTACATGCTACTATAGCTACACTTCGCTTAGCATTCTACATTCCATCAATTCGACATACAGTCGCCAAAGTTCTTCTGCATCGTGTGCAAAAGGACCAATGCACTTCCATATCGTTACCCGGACATGCCGAATCTAAAAGATGAAAGAGTCACTAAATCTCGACCCTTTCAGAACATTGGGCTAGACTATCTTGGACCACTCCGTTATAAGGGCACTTTTACTATGTCCGCTCAATTTTGGATTTGTCTATTCACATGTATGGCTACACGAGCAATCCATCTTGAACTTGTACTCAACAATACTACTCAGGGATTTCTGTTAGCCTTTTGCCGTTTCGTAATAAGTGATGGAATGCCGGAAGTGCCAATCACTTATCTTAAGCAACAATGCTACCATATTTCGTTCAGCAGACAACACCTTGCAGAAAGTCATCTATGCACAGCCGTCGCATTCACCTTAGTTTCTTCATATCTTACAAGCGGGTATATTCATATCCTGTCATATTCGATGGATATTCATATTCATCACACCTCTTTCACCATGAAAAGGAGGCTTCTATGAAAGTCTTGTCGACTTATTAAGTCATCCATTCGTAAGTCAATTGGTTCAACACTTCTCCCATTACAGCAATTTTCTACCTTCATCACGGAAATAGAAGCTGCCCTCAATTCAAGGCCATTAACAGCACTACCAGATACAGTTAGTTCGCCATCGATCTTAAGACCAGTAGATTTTCTACAACCTCAGGTAGAACTTCAATTACCACCATTGGACGTCTCATCAACACAAAGGAAACTTTCCAACAAGACATTGCTCGAATGATATAGAGAGACTTTGGCAGCTTTAGATCGTTTTTGGGCCGCCTGAACCACAGATTATCTTTCAGCTATTTCAGAACGACATGCTAAACGAATTGCTCAAGGTAAGTCTACGCCACGCACTCCACAGGTTGGAGAAGTCGTCTTCATGGGGCGACAAAACCATTCCTCCCACAAATTGGCCTACGGCAATCATTATCCGTTTGATCAAAGACTGCTCACAACGGATAAGAAGTGTCACGCGCACAACGGGTAAGAAGTATCACCTTACGAACTCCTAACGGCAATGAGTTGCAGAGGTCAATCAATCAACTCTATCCTTTGGAGATAGTTACCGCCGAACATCTTACTATTCTCGATACACTCTATCTCTTCACCATATCGGACCCACTCCATACCGTAATCAATAGTGCTCGTTCTAGAACACGCTTCCTCTAGCATTTCGTCATACTTGTTATGCAATATCCCGTCACAAGATATTTAAAGCCCTTTCTTATTGTTAGTTCATTTTNGGTTCAGTACCACTACGTCGCTTTACGTTCACACGTTCGCAATTATTCTTCATTATCCATGTTCATCCGTTTACCTTATTCATTCTTCGTCACCTTATCGCGCACAACTAGCGCATACGCACTTCAACGTGTAATCGTATATTCAGTACACTCACGTGACAGTTCATCTATTTACTCATTCTGTACCACCTTCGTATTAATTTAACTTTTACCACTCAATCAAATTAACTTGCACCCTACTTATGTCTTAATTCCTCTATTCTTCCATTATTGCTTACTACCCTCCTATCATTCTCTTATTATTCTATAGTACATCTCTCATCTCATCTACTTACTCTCCATTCGTCAGTATTCTATCCTTCCACTGTACCCATTTCTCGATTTAATATCTCTACATCTTTCCATCCATATTTCCACTTACTTTATTCTCCATCTATGCCTTAACCTCCTAGTTCTTTCATTATTGTTTCACGTTATCTCCTACTATTTTCCTATTCTTATCATATAGTCCATTTAGTTCCTATCTCATTTACATTTTAGTTTTCTGCTTTACTCATTCTTCACCCAAATACATTTACATTTTCTCCCGCTTTCGCTTCTATACACTTTCTTCTCCACTAATACCCTGTTTACTACCTTACTGTTTATACTCGAATATTCAATACACTTTTCCTATTTGTCAACCTAATCATTCTATTTCAGATTCTTCTTGTGTGTTCATTTGCAATGGTTCGCCCAACTTCGAATATTCCGTCTACTATACCTACGTCGACTAAGACAACAACTTCGTCGCTACCACCACCAGCGCCATCAGTTGTCCAGTCAGTCTCTTGTTCTAATCCATTTTCGATACCTACTTCGGATACCGTTTCTCTTTCGGAAGATGCTTTGTTAGTTGTCTCAGCTATTCGTGATCTCAGAGCTTCGTTACCTTTTCCGCCCATGTATTCGCCCGTTTATCGTCCGCTCGTTCATTCGCTTCCGCCAGACAATCCATCTGAACCAACTCGTTCTACACGTCCAGCCACTGCATTTGAACTCACTGAACGTTCTTTTCGTGGTCATTCGATGAGGACATTTCCGTCCTTGAAGATGATCGCTCACGAGATATCGCTCTATCACCAGATGATCGTATACCGCTTCGTTTTGCACAAGCTTTAACACTCGCATTCAGCTTCGATACCACGTTCATTTTGGAATATCTTGCTAATCGCGATCTTTACCTCGTCGACGCATTCTTACATCGTTCATTCTTCGTATCAATTCGTGAATACTTCGTAAACGAAGCTACTTTTCCATCAGAAGAAGCTCAAGATTATCCACCGGTTAGGAAATATTCCATCTTCCCTATTGTCTACAACATCAAAGCTCTGTACTCATCGGTTAACAAACTCTGACGTTTCATGAAAGACTTGGCTCAAAATCCAGATTGGTTCAAGTCGCTCAATGAATTGCTGCAGAAACATCAACGATTACTTCCACTTCTTTACAATGCACAACTTCGTCGCAACACACTTTCGGACCTCATCATACCTCGCATTCCTAATCCTATTGAGGATCAACGTGTATTCACAGATCTTTTCGCTCAACACTCGGTAACACTTTCTCGCTTTAGGCACATTCTCGCTTTCGCTACAGCTACTACGTCACTCGGTTATGCCCACTTGCAGCACATTGCTAACTCGATCAAGCACAATTTGAACGTCTCCTCCGAATCATTCACCTCTGACGATGATGAACTCCCTACGACTAAGCAGCTTCTTGGACTAAGAACTCGTGATCACAATGTCGACTCGGTTGTCAAGTTGCTGAAGGAAGCTACACTCTCAGCCACAACACCAGCCAACTCCACAGTTTCCACTCAGTCTACTACTACTACAGTAACTACATAGAACCGTTGTCACATCTGTTCAAGTCGCTCCTAGCCCATCCCATTCGCCAACACCATTGGCCATGGAATCAACTCATTCAGGTCAGCCATCACCATCGGCTTCTAACCGTAAAGACTCGCATGCAGATGATTCAGATAATTGGTCATATTCCACTCAAGAATCTCGTGTACACAAACCGGACTCCTCTGTCCGAAGGACGTTTCCATCTCGTCGTAAACCAGGTTGGACATATACACCAGAGTCATCCGAACAATCCTTATCGGCACAAGGTTCACAGCAACAGTCTCAACAACAGGATGTACCCAATTGCTATTTCTGCTCGGAACAGCACTTCTCTGCTAGTTGTAAGAAAGTTGTAGAGTTGTAAGCTCATTATTTCAAGGCAGCTCAACAAGGTCGTTGTCTTGCAAATTTTCGAACACCTTGTCGCATTTGTCAAGACCAAGACCATCACACGGCTCTCTGTCCAGCAAGTACTAAATCGTCCCCGATTACCGCAACTTTGGCAGATTCTAAAAGGCCATGCATAAGAACAATGTAAGTTTTTACGATATCTGATAAGGGCAAAACATCAGTCCATAAATAATAGTTCTGTATATATGTACACAATATTTACCTCACTATTTACTCATCGTTTCTTTACCTTTATTTCCACCTTTCTTCTCATTAATTTGTTGTTCTTGCTCGGACCGTAAGTCCAGCTCATTAATATCGTCCGTCCATTACTTATTTATATATGCATACATACATATTTGTTACTCATTATTACCCCTTTACTTATCTATACGGGTTCAGGCAATGCAACGTCGGGAATAACCCCACAACTTGCATTTGGAAGATCCCTCGGATTACCCAGGAGGAACAGGAAGACTATTGGGAGCTCGACCCTATATATTCGTGTCATCAGCGAGTCATCCAGAAAAATTGTACTCGCACAAATCTCCCACGCGTGAATCACGCACAGTAGTGTAGGTCCATACTTTCGACAGCAACACCGTCATCGCTCAATCCATGCAATCAATTCGACGACAAATTCGATCAACGTGCAATGCAATGCAACTCGCTATGGAAAGCGATCGGACCACCACGATCAATCGACATCCACGCCATATCACCTCTCGCAAGTTTACAGTGCCTTACCCTTGTGCTTCGTTACTATTTGTACATTTTCCATCTTTGCTACATGCCCATTTATCATGTATTCTTCATTCCTTTTTTGCTTCCGTAGAGAACCTTATAGGCCGTACCCTATATTTTTTGTGTGTCAGACCCACTATAAGCTAAGTGTCATCGACTCGTCTTCTAACGCGAACTCGGTCTAGGCCCGTCCAAAGGCGTTCAATAATACTCGGCCGAAATTTTATGTCGCACTTTGCTCTCGAATGGCAGCATTTCGGCCGCCGGGAGTGTCGTGACTTTCACCCCCCCGAGGAAGTTGCTCCAATCACACGGTGTAAGGATACCGCGTGCGCTCATATTCAGATCAGCCAGAAGCCTCTAGAAGGCAGAGTGCAAGAACTTTGGCGCCGAAAGCACGTCAGTTCATCATCTCATTGATCGGCTGCACCCAGAACGTCTCAGCTTCATGGAGCCACGCGAGGAGCACCGAGAACAACCGATAGTAACTCACTAACCAGCTAGCAATGACACACGCTAGCACCGCCTCAGGTACTCTCTTACTAGATCTTAACCCGCGGTTCGCCATAGAATCTCAATAGTTGTGCAATATTGATAAGTAGTATTCCACCTCTTTAGCCATAGTTCATTTCTACTATTGCACTAATTATTTCAACCTTAGTTGTTATTGCCATTGCATCACATACCTTAACCACACTACCATACTTCCTTATGTTAACATTGCCACTTTATTCATATACATGGTTTTACACTTTAATTGTGCTTTTGCCCTTTACGTAGAAGAACAATTACTTATTTGTAATTTCATGTTATTTGGAGGATATGAAGAGTATAATATAACAGTATCATATTCACATCGATACATCTCGTATTCCACCAGTCGTCCTCTTCTCTCTTCTTGGCACGTCATCCGGCTCTGATCGTGGTCTTTCCATCCAGACGTCCGCCAACTGGTCATTCTTCTCGGACATTCGTCTCTTCCATCCGGATCATCAACCGAGCCAGCGGTTGGAGGGTTGGAAGGCCCTACCGGTTCCCGCGGCAGGAGAGAGGCAAAACGCCACGAGCATTCGCAGGCGCACTCTATCAGATACCAGGCTGATCAGGCCTAAGCATCCGATGTGTAGCGGTGTTATAAACTCGAACAGATTATATTAATTATTTATCATTATTACATTAAAGGGAATATGATAGGGGGAAAGACACAACTGGTGGAGACACAACTTCAGCCTACGTCGAGGCGGCGGGGCTGTGAGGGAAGTCGTTCGTGCGGTAGCGGAGGTAGTCGTCCTTGTTGCCAGCTCGCTCGTTCTATACGCTCCGTTGTGTAGTGTAGCAGTTGTCCTCGGCTTGCTCGGCTGCCTATGATATGACATCTCCCTTCCTACAGTAAGCTCATCCTCGAGCTTCAACAAGCTCTCGAGCTATACTGTATTTTATGGAGTATAGTGCGAGGATGGCATGAGGGAGTGGACTGGAGCATACAACAGAAGAACTGGCTAATGGAAAGTGAGACTCTCTAGACAATGAAAACTCGAACTTTTGCCGTACTTTCAAAAAGAGGGCTCGACCTCGGGCCAGGAAGGAAAAAGTAGAGGTGTGGTGATATGAGTATATGTGTTACATTCGTTCGCGATTGGTTAAGTTATGGGTTATGCTTATACATTTTGCTAGGTACTTCGTTCCCATAATACCATACGAAAGCTAGTCCTATGTGTTATACAGTGTTTCGTTCGAATGTGATATCGTACAGAGGAGTATGGCAAAATAAGAGACTTATTACAGTTTAAGTAAAACTACGTGATGGTCAAAATCCAAGACATTTGTAGTGCCAGACCGAGTTATGCTAAATAAAGACGGACTGGCATGGAAAATGTGAGACATATAACAGTCTGAGCGTGATGGGGTTCGACTGGTATATGAACATAGAGAAAATACTGTGATGCGAATACTAGTCTCGCCGAAAACGACTAGTATAAGGGCGTTTTTTTTTGTTTTGTACTTTATGATTAAACCAGTGTCGAAGTACTGCCATTACAGTACAGTAGAGAACACAATTTGAATCATCCTTCTCACTTCATATTACTCACTTCACTCTGCAGTGCTCACTTTACTCCATTAACCTACCCACAAAGTGACTGCTTTTTATATAAGAAGAATAAGTTTTCCATATCACTACCTTTATCATAATCACAAAGTAACCCGGACGGACAGACCGACAAACCGACATACCGACATACCGACATACAGACAAACCGACATACCGACAAACCGACAAACCAAGTTACTGCTTTATATATAAGAAGGACAATGTGTGGGATAGCGATGCACGGGGGCTCTTTGAACCGCCAATTCAAAGAGTGCAAGATTGATGATCGCGACATTGCATTATATGAAAAAAAATGTGTTGAACTGACCAGCGGAGGTTGTCTGGTTTTAGTGACAGTCTCCTGATAACTTTGTGTTTCACGGATTGTAGCTGAAAATACAGTGTCTCTCCTGAAGACGGCGTGAACGCCTGATTAATGGTTGTTTCCTATCGTCTGATGTTTCCTCGTGTGACTGTGGTGTTAATTGGTTTAATGTTATAGATATGGAAACATCAGCTGATTGGGAACGCGCGGAGTAAAGTTTGAGCCGATCAAGATGAACAAGTTGTCGCTTTTGGCGACCTACAAGGTTAGTAATTGTAATGTTAGGGCGGTCTATCATTTCGACCACAAAAAGACCGCAAATGGTCGCCGAAACCGTCCTATGCGAACACGGATCGTGTAGGAAGCTCGTGAAGGATGTCGCTCCACGTAATTGGGCATCTGCTATGCACAATAAAGAACGGGCTATAGCCTGTAGTTGTGTTGATACTTGAATTGTATGCGAACACTATCGGTTGTTGAAAGTCAGACCATAGTTCTCTAGCGGTTGAACAGTATGCCGTCAGTGAGTCCGTGACGACTTCATCCAGTCGTTCCACTTGGCTATTAGCTTTATGATTGTAACTGGTAGTAAAATTATTGGTTATAAATTATTAAATTTTTCTCCCAGTACTTTGCTGAACTTTGCAGACATTTCGCTAGTGTAGTTTGAACCACGCTCAGAGACCAATTCTCTCGGAATACCGTGTTTCGAGATGAGGTCATTAATCAATGCTTTGATTAATGACTCGGTTGTTTGATTGGCCAATGGAGTATACACTATGGATTTACTAAAGGCACACACTGATATCGATATAAACTTACTCCCATCTGTGCATTGCGGTAAAGGTCGGAACACGTCCGTGTGCACTCGCTCGAACGACCTTTGCAGAGTGGGAAAAATTCCCATCTCCTCCCGAATAATATGCTTTGAGGGAATTTTAACTTTCTGGCAAACAGGGCACGTGTTTATATATGTCGTGACGTCCTGATATAAATTAGGCCAGTAGTATTTTTCCTTAATTGCTTTGTACGTTTTATTAATTCCAAATTATGAACCTAACAGTAGGTTCTCGTGGAATAGAGCAACTAGTTCGGATTGCATCTCGGCGCTTGGGATGAGCAGTTTCGCTTGGTCATGTATAGTGTGATACAATGAACCATTACGTAAGTAAAATCGATGCATGGTGTCATCGAATTGTTGAAGAGGGTCTGCATCTCCCTGTTGGAGAAATTTCAAAATCGGACCATATTTGGAATTTCTCTGGCTCTCCTGGATTTGCTCCAGAGAGGGTAGGGAGCGCGCATTTATGTGGTTCACGCTAGGTAGGGGGTACCGGCTGAGGTAATCACAAGAAGTGCTATGTTTACCTGCACGATATACAATTGTGATATCGTACGATTGAATGCTTATTTGATACTTAGCTAGCGTCCGATCAAGTCTGATCTATG